GTCTGCATTTGTGATCGGAGAAATTACAAACAACAAGCGCTACTCTACACTGCTCAAAACTTGCGTTTGAATCGTCTGTGGCAAATTCTTTAAATATGAAAACGTACTTACAGTCTGTGAGTCAGAACAGCTGGCATTGTAGTCTACTCTTCCAGAATCAGCAAACAGTCCTCCATAAAATGCTCTGCACACATCTGAATATTTGGGTTGAACTGTTCTGGAACAGTGTTGTAAATACAACTTAACCACTGATTTCTAGTCGTGTCTTCTTTTGGAAGGCCAAACAAAGTAGTTTCGCTTTCACAACGAAACACACAGCATCACACACGGCGGGCTTGAGTGAGCGGCGGCGAGCTTGAGAGATAATTTTAAATTTATGTATCCTTGAATACTGATAGAATAGGCTGTTAATCAGTTAACTTGACAACTTGAAGCGATCTGTCAACCATCTTGACAAAACGCAACAATACTTCTTCAAGGTATTACTTTACTTTAGCTACAACAGAGTCCAGGTTCTTTGGTTTAATTTACTATGTAGTGATTGTGTTATTATAACTGATTTTTATTTAAATGTGTGCCAATTAATATAGACTGAAAAAAAAACAGACAAATAATGTCTAATTTACAAAAAATACAGACTTCAATCTTACACTTTTACAGACATTAAATGGAAAACAAGCGTAGAAAATGTTAACAAATGTGATGTTATAGTTAGATTTTACTGCTTAGAGCAATGTTTTACATTTTTTTGTAATCATATTATAGTTTTTTTAAATATCATATAATGTACAATTAATTATGCTATTAATGACGTTGACAGGTCTGTTGGATACTGTTTACAGGTTTTTTTGTAGAGCAACTAATGGACAACTCGGACCCAGAATAAGGCGAGATGAACATTGCAGAGCGCTAAACACTCCGTGCAGTGTATGTTTCATTCATACTCGAAGTCGGAGGGCGCTCTCCTGCAGAAAGTCGTGGACAAAAGCGTCCAGCTATCGCTGTACGAAAACAGTTGTTTTCACAGAAAAACAGAAACGTTTGGAAACATGAAGACATTAAACATACGATTGCGACAATATATGGTTTATTTGTGTTTGTCAAGTCATCTCCAGGTAA